CAATCTTCATTCACAAATATAGACATATATTTGTATACGTTCACGTATATGTATAAAATTTCTCATCTTACATTCTGAAAATTAAATATTTAAATTCTGTAATTATTTTGTGCATTTAAAAGAAGATTATATATAGTGGTGAATTATAAAATGCTTTAAAAGTTCGGACGACCATCTTACATAAAATAAAAAAATAACTATACAAGATTAGTGGTGGTTTATGATTGTCTAGAAGACTTTGTGGTCCTTCAATTTGAAAAGAAGAAGAATCATGTGGTGCTTAGGTGGCAATGAAAAGTTGTACCTACATTAACAAGTTTAAGATTCGAAAATGTAAAATGAGAGACTTCAATCATCAACACATCAACGTGATTGAACGATCATAATAACTTCTCAATCGGACTAAACAACAAAATAGAGACAGTTTAAAAAAAAAAAAAATTGTCAAAACAAGAAAATGTGGTTCTGATTACTAAAAGAAGTTGACCTTTTTACAATTGGCAGGCCTAGATCTGTTGGTTAAAGCCATAAGATCTGTACAATTTATTAAACAAATGAAGAATATTTATTGTATAAATATATATTTTTCGCGCCAAAGAATGAGGAATATATTTCATCTGATGCAATTTTCACACTAATTAGTCATGGTCACGCATTATTATTCATCACACGTAGCCTGCAAATTATAAAGAGTTCTCACGTTGGGTTAGTAATAACCTGGGCCCTCGACAGCCCATTGCTAAGTCCAAAGCCCAATAATCTTCTCGCGCATTTTTTCCAAACCCGTCAATATATCTATACTAGTTGCTGAACATGAGATGTCGTTTTTAATATTTGTTCAAACAATAACAATTCAGGCTTGTTTGGAATGAGTTATGATGTTACTTTTTTTTTTTTTTATATTGATCTTCAAATTTCGGCCTATATCATATTTAGGACGGTTGATATTGATTTGGAATAATTCATAATGTATTAGATTTTTTTGACCCAAATTCATATCACTAAATTAATGATATTGTGTGTTTTGATATTGTAGTGAAAGAATTAAAGCAAAATTTTGAATCTTCCGAAACAATTTTTGTTACCAAAACATGGTTCTGATTTCCTACCCAAAACACTCCTACAACAAAACAATTGCTTTGATATTAACCAAAAACATAACGCTTAAAACATATTACATGTCAAATGGCACAAAACAATATCACCAAATTAATGATATTGTGTGTTTTGATATTGTAGTGAAAGAATTAAAGCAAAATTTTGAATCTTCCGAAACAATTTTTGTTACCAAAACATGGTTCTGATTTCCTACCTACAACACTCCTACAACAAAACGATTGCTTTGATATTAACCAAAAACATAACGCTTAAAACATATTACATGTCAAATGGCACAAAACAATCAACACATCTTATAAAAACCTTGTGATTATACGTTACTAATTAGCATTTTATACACGTGAATTGAAGAAAACATATTTGAATTGTAGAATTTACTTAAGAAGACAAAAATGGAAATATTTTTTGTTGAAGCCTAATACAATTATTTCATTCCCATGTTATAATATAATGGAACAAGTGCAGAAAACACTCGCGTTTATTTGAAAAAGTGTGCAAAAAATATCCCTAATCTTTTCACATTGTGCAAAAATACCCCTCAATAAAAGATTTGACATAAATTAATGTTATAATACCAATTTTGCCCTTTTGCTATTTCGAAAATGTCCAAGGCTATATATGCTACCAATCTCATAGTATAGAGCTGTTATGTGCACATTACCTTATTATTTTTTTAAAAAAAACTTTTTTTTCTCTATATATATCTCTAAACTTTTTTTTTTTTTTTTTTTTGAGAATTTAAGAAATTTGTAGAACAAGTATTTGAATTTTTTGAGATTCCAGTTTACTATTTTCTACCATATATATTTTCTTTATTATTAGTATTTTTTCGTACCAACACAGTTAAAAAAAAAAAAAAATCCCTCTAACAGTGTGCACGGGTTATCGGAGTTTGGAGCATATTTGTTTTATGTAGTTTACACTTTATTTTCGTTTTTTTTTTCCTTTCTATTTTTATCCTTACTTCTCTTTTATACTTTTATTTTTATTTTCTATTTTTAACTTTACTCGTCCATTGCCAGCGGCCTCTAATAGTATCATTTTCTGTCATTTTACAAAATTATTTATTTTTATATATTTTATAAAATAGTTCAGTAGGTTAATCATTAAACTCTCGCAACGATTGAATACTATTACAAAAAGGTTTGTTACCTAATCATTTATATATATATAAAACTTGTGTATTAAGTCTATTCTTCCAATATTTTTATTATGAATCACTTTTTTATATTTTTATAAATCACTTTGAACAAGTGACATTATTCTTTTATTATGAATCACTTTGATATTTTTATTATGAATCAATTTGAACAAGTGAGATTTGATCACAAGTAGAAGGGATTTTTAATTTTGTAGTCTTATTATTGTTCCATTCTTATTTGTTAAGATCTGAATATCACGGTTATATATGATTTTTTCGGTCATTTTATTCTATTGCGTAATAGGTTATACAACGACGGTATCTCTCATTCATGAGACTTACTCCCACTTCTAGTAATTGTTGATTACAAATAACTTAATCACCTATTCATATATATCTCATTGCCATTTAGAACTTTCCACCACCTATTTATATATATCTCATTGCCATTTAGAACTTTCCACCTATTTCTATATATTTTTCATTTCCAGATATTTCTAACTTTACACAATTTTTTAGTATTCTAAAATCTTTTCTACACCTTACAACTATCAACAATCATCTCTCCTAACACTATAGAATCTTCCTCTAAATCAATACTCCACAATCTCCTTGACTCTAAAGGATTCTTCCAATGTTGCTTGGCACTCATGTTGCACAACCTCCCTCGTAAAAATCCTATGATTCCCGATTTGAATCCTGAGTTTAGCTTTGCATCCCTCTTGGATATTAATTGGTAGGTTGAATCTCATTGAAAGAAATTTATGAAGCACATACACTTTTACAAATGCGTCGTATTGGACATGTCGAACACTTTACATGTTCATAAATAGAAATAATTTTTTTTTATTATTTTGGATATTTTTTCACTTCTTGGACACTTAATCAAATATTTTTAAACATTTGTAACATAAGTCTACTCGGTATTTTTGAAAATAATATGAACACGTTCTAAAGCGTTTAACTTTTTTCACATTATACACATGCAGTTAGAAGCGAAACATTAAATCATATTTATTCATTCAAAATAAAAACACTATTATGACAAAGTTGTGGAATAACTGCATATATAATATAAAAGTTATTACATCTCTTAGTATAAAAATTAGAAAGGAATTAAAGTTTTATAATACTATTACTCAATACATGTATATAAAAAAATTTATATTTATATATAACCGTGTTCGTACTCGTATTCTATTTTTTAAAAATTTATTGTATCGTATCCGTATCCATGCTACATAAAAAGCAAACTAGTAAATCTTAGGCGAATAAAAGTTTTATTTTTTATTTTTTATTTTTATTTGAAAAAAGATAGTGGTGTGGAAAATCTCTCTCTCTGGTCATCACGCTTAAGCTTAGTAGTTTTATTATTTGTATACTGCATTTATTTTCCTTTTCTTTTTTCCTAAACCCCTGCTAAAAGCTTTACATCCATTTCTCTTCTTAGTCCCTCTTTTCTTGATTCCTAATTTCGTATTATAGATCTCTAGGGCTCTTTAAAGGGGCAAAGGATCTGATTTTTCCATCACAAAACTCTAAATCTAACATTATTTATTTATTTATTATATTCCTACTTGCCAAACAAATCTTCAAGCAACTGGTGCTAACTTTTTACGGAATTATTATCTTGTGGTAATAAAGATGTAAATAAGAATTTGTATAGAGACAATTACAGGTAGCATTCCAATATTGGAGTGCTGAAACAACCTCAAATTTCATGAAGTTGATAAAACCTGGTTGAATTATAGGTTAGAGCTTGAACCTATACCAAATTCAATAATTTATTTCTTTTTCATGAAGCTTTTCATTTTAATGATTTCAAGCTGGCTAATGAAATGACATTATCCATTATACATCTTCTCTGAAAGAATCGAGTAGTAGATGACTACCCTTTTGCTTAGCTAATATTTCTCATCTCATTTTTGTCTAATACAATTTGGAACTTATTGTTCCGTAATTTATTTATTTATTTATGTTAAACTTGGTTTTTTTTGTTTTGTTTTGTTTTTTTTTTTTTTTTTTTTTTTATTTAAAAAAAATGCCATTATCATATTCTAAAGAATCATGTAAGTAACCCTTTCTTATAGACATTTTTACCTTTCAATACTAACAAATTACAGGGTGTTCAAACAATGGTCACCCAATATAAAATAAAATTTGGTTAATGGGATTTAGATATGCTTAACTTTCTAAGGAGGACGCTATTTATATATCTTGAACAATATCAGTTCCTCAAAGCATTCAATACAGAGTTTATTATTATTTTTTATTATTTTCTAAGTCATGCAATAAAGTATAATGCTTCGCTTTATAAAAGCATAAGTGTAACTGTGGAAGTAGTACCATTTCTTCTTGAAAGGGCAAATACAGAAACTAATGAAACTATTGTCTGTTTTTTTTAAAAAAAAAGGAAATGTGATTCATCTTATGGTGGAAGTGAAAATTTTGCACACTAACATAAATCACTCACAAAACTTAGCATAGCCAACTATTACCCTGAACTGTGACATAATTTGTCAAGGTCTTATGTCCATTTCCTAGTCTAATTTCTTCAAAACTTTCCACTATGGTTTCCTCATTGCCATGGTGAAGCTCCAAGTATAGTAAAAATTGATGACAGTTCCGGTAAAGGATTTCTTCCACATTGAACAAAAATCGTTGGTACAGTCCCAAGAATTGCATATAGTTTGGTCATGAAAATCATTCAGCAGTCCTAAAAATTATTACAATATCCATATAGTACTTTGTTCTAAACAAACAATCTCTTTTCTTTAGAGCAAATTACTAGAAGCCATATCATCGGATCAGATTCAACATTACTCATCAGTTGATGAGAGCAGTTTCCTTTGAACTTGAAGATTCATTCAACAATATACAACAATCGTAGCTGCTAATTGCCTAAATGTGCTAATCATAATCAATTGACGTCTGCAAAAGGAGTTCTATTTGGTGATGGCTGCTGTTGCTGTTGCTGAATCTTGCTTCCGGTATTACTACCAGATTTTGGTCTGTTATCTGAAGTAATGTTTTCCGTGAGATCTTCAAAGGCCAGTGTTCTCATCTCCTCAATGGATGCCAGGCTGGGGACTGCAAGTACTTGCTTCTTAGGAGTCCCACTGGTATGCTGATCAACCTGTTCCAAGTAGTTACACCATTCAGTCAGTATACAGCTCTGAAATCTTAAGAAGAAGAACATAAAAGAAAACTTTGGCTTAGCACTACTGATGTCAATGGTCATGTTTTCCTGAGGTTTGTTGAGACTTTCTTAGGTGGGGAAACATTTAGTACCCTAAACAAATTGATCCCAGTTATGGCAGTTATTAACCACACTAAGAGTCACAAACTTGGAACCCCTTAAACTTTGTGTCACAGTAATCTCATTAAAGAGTAAAGATACAGCAAGAGAATCAGCCTACCAAATATTCTTTCCTAAGGCACTGCTCTGCTCTGTTTCGGATATTTGATATGCTTTCACTATGCTTTTCTCGTACAGAGTTGAGTTGGTCCAAGCACAAAGTAGACATGGAGTCCATTTCCTTCTTAGATTCATGGTCTAGCCTCAAGGAATCTGCAAATTGCATTATATTTTTTCCCAACTGAGCAGTTAGAGTCATGATTTGACAAAGTAGAAAGAAAAAAAAATTTGCTTAAGCAATTAATAAGCATACCATTCACAGATGCACTGATGTCACAAGCTTTGGCTTCGAAATCCAAAACCATGGATGAGGATGTGGAGACGAATTCTTCATGTGCAGCTTGATTTGCACAAATTTTTGCCCTGTTCGTGGACATAATTCAACGGACATGGATAAGAAAAGGAAAAGAACACAATAAAGTTCAACAAACAAAGGAATGGAGAACTTACTTTACAGTAGATTCCATCTCTGCAGTACTGCTCTTATTGAGATGGTTGATATATAACTCTGCATTTTCCCACTGCTGCCTAGAGTAATCCACCTTTGTTGTGCTGCATAATAGTGACAATTAATAGGCAGTACTCAACCATTAGAAAGATCCCAACCTTCAAAACAAAGAACTCCGAGCAAATATGATCAAATATTTCAGTAACTTAAGTTCAAAGCGTAAGTTCTATGTTAATTTGCTCTATTTGGTTAAATCTTTAATTAATTATACACTATTCTCTGGTGCCAACTAGCTACTTCAATCTGTTTGGTTCACAAGTTTCTCTGCTAATGTGTGTTTCTGCACGCTAATATAATGTTAACAACAATATTTGTTCTGCACATTTCCCTCAAAATTTTAAATTTTCTGGAGTCAAATTGACCTGCTCAGATTGTCTCTGCTAATGTGTGTTTCTGCACGCTAATATAATGTTAGCAACAATATTTGTTCTGGACATTTCCCTTGAAAATTTTATATTTCTGGAGTCAATAAATTGACCTGCTCAGATTGTCTTGCTGTAATTTTACTTCTAAAACTTCAATTGTAAGAATTTTACAGACAGAAGATTTTTTTAGCTTACCATTCCTGGAGGCAATTTTCAATAGTAGCTTTCGTTTCAGCTGATGTGAAAGTGTCTTCCAAGAAGTGACTCTTCACCTTTTCTGCATATTGATTCAACTCCTCCTTTGCATCAGCTGAAACCTGTTGCATGTTGAACATCTCTTGCAGCAATCTTTTATTCCCTTGTATATTCGAGTCCTGAATGTTTCTCGAAGCTTCTGAAACCTATTGAATGATTCTTAGATGTCAAGCATCCAATCTACTGGCTATCATTTTCGCAAGACATAGGAACACCAATAAAATGACCGACTCACCATAGCTGTTCTTTTAGTTGTCAGATCCGATAATATTGCTGCAATTTTTTCCATGGCCTGTTTCTCCTCCCTAGCAGTCTCTTCCTGTTAAAAGAAGACCCATGCTTCAATCCCATTCTAGAATTGGTCATTATATACACACACACACACACACACACACATATTACATCCCTAAAAACTTTACCTTAAACATCTTCTCAAAAGTTGCCAATTGCTGGGACTTATCAATTTGGCTTTCTTCAAGAACTGTCATGAGTTTAGAAGCACTATGGTTGAGGTCACTAAAAAAATCAACTGTTGCCTTAGAGATCACTTGTGCTGAAACCATACTCCGATGTAATCCCTACATTTCCACAAGGTTAAAAAAATTATGTACAACTAAAAGGAAGGAGTTTGCCTAGCATCATGGAAACTGTAATAGAAATGAACATACCTCTTCTTGTTGTTTGGCAGAGACAGCCAATAGCTGCCTTTGTTCATTAAGAGAATTTTGAATCTCAGAAATGACATCCTTGGCCTCCGAAACCGCAGTTTTGAAAAACTGTAAATATGACACAACATTATAACAGCCATTGTAATAGTCTCATCAGTATTTCAAACAAAATTATATTTCTTTCACTTCATACATTCTCAACTGCGTTTGTTTGGCATGATATTGTAGACTTAATTTGATCCATGTCAGAAGAAGCCTTCATTTGTAGTGTGTCAGAAAGCTCCTTCAAAGATTCCACTCCTGTAGTATATATCTCTGTCATTTTCTTTATCTTCGACTCCAGTACCTGGGTTACCTGGCAGATTAGACAAAGGTAAATTATTTGACAAATAATGAACCTGGTAATACTGAGCTACAATGAGGGAAGAGGATCCTCTCCGGGCACAATTCAAGGGTGGTGGACATTGGACCACCCCATGACTAGCGTTGGAGGAGAATACAGTTGCATTAGAGAGGGTCCCACTCCTACAATGAAACATCAACTTTCAGTTCTTACATCGCATTTGCTAGCAAGAAACGAGTGGATATGCTCTTCCATGCATCTTAACTGTTGTTGTTGTTCAGAAACCGATCCCAGGAAGGTCCTGTGAAGGTCTTTTAAGTTCTGATCAAGCTGTGAACCAAAAGTCAGAAGCAGTCCTTGGTTTTCTGCTTCCAATCTATTTTTCTGATCTGTAAAGCATCATTAATTTTAGTTGGGCCTTAAAACAAGCAGAAAAAAGTGACTATAAATGCACGTACTAATGCACATCTTTTACTGTAAAAACAAATTGGAGCAAAAGAGAGTAATGCAGTGCTTTAAAGCTTTAGTATCACATTTTTTAAAAAACACATCTCCACAAAATATTTCATTAATGCATGTAGCATAGCCCATTTGTGTCTTATAAACAAATTGGGGCTTCTTAATATCTCATTTCAAAGGTCAAATCCGTGACAAGAGGTACATTTAAACAACCTACCATAATATATTCTTCGCCAGTTACTAGGAGAGGGAAATTTCCTTCTCAGAAAATGAGAAAGATTGATTTCCTACAGGGCTTGCTAGTGATAATTTCTTCATCTACATGCAATATTTAAGACACACAATTTAATGATTCAGGATTCTGATACAATTTAAGTACAAGTACCTAATTTTGCAAATAATGCTGATATATCCTCAGATGCATTTTCCAAGTTGGCACGCAACTCCTTCGCACGTTCAATTAGACAGTTTTCTGTTTGCGTTAAGAAAAGCACACATTCTCTGGAATAAGTAAGCATCACCGAATGCAGAAAAGAGGACCATGATGTGCTCACTTAAAACTTGGTCTTTTACCTGAGTGCAGAAGCGAGCAGATGACAAGCTCTTTCTCCTTCAGCGTTGAAATGGCTATCCTGTGGTTCTCTTGAAGATCTTGCAAGGCCTTGTTACTGTTTTCCAGTTTTCTCTGATAGGAAACAAATTCAGATCAGGTACGTGTGCGCGAAAAAAGGACTTGCAAACTATAATTCCTATTCAATTCTAAAGTTGATACCTTGCAATCCCCAAGCTCACTTTTTAAGTCTAATTTCTCCTCTTGCTCAGTGAGATAAAGCTCACGAAGTTTATCGACTTGCTGCACCGATAACATGTTCATTACTATAGACATTGAATTATTCAAGAAAGATCAAGCAAACAGCAAGCCAGCAGCAATACCTTCTCACTGAGGTTTAGATCAATCTCCAGTTGCTCTATCTTCTCGTTCTTCACCTGCAGGATGATAATGTACCCATTTTACATTCAACTTATTCAAGCTACACTAGGATACGAAGAATAGCATTCTGACAGGTGACAGTTTTGTAGAACTAAACAAAAACGTGCTTTAAACTCAAGTGGGCTAATAGATTTCTTCACTCATAGGACTTTAAGTTATAACCAATCACTGGAAGCCTACATTATCATCATCTAATCATGTTTCTATTGATGCGATAGTTCTGTATGTTTATTAAGACTTGAGTAGCGTTGATAGTGGGATTTGTAAAAATTCACCTTCTTTTCAGCTTCATCCTGAACGTGTCTTTCATGTGGGATATAAACACCATTCTTTTCCCTCGCTGCTCGTACATCTGCTTTGATTATTGTGGAATATAAACCTACGAGTCTGGATTTTGTCAAACAATCAGAAAGTACAAGTGAATTGTCAAACCTTGTTTCATTCTCTCAATTTCTAAGTATAAATCCTTGAGCAGCACAGCCTTAGACATTTTTTGATTCGCCTGCAAAGATAAGCTTCACTATCAGCACAAAAGAAAGACTACGTGAAAGGAAACACTGACATAGGCAAAAGAAATAGCCATGCAAACCTCTGGCTTATTCTTGATGCTTTTAGCACGGTAGGCATAATCAAGTGTGCTCAAAGTTTCCTCTAGACATTGAGCAGAAGGAGATATTGTTGCAATGATGCAAGTTTTTGTTTTGCCTCCCAGTGAGTCTCTTAGCAGCCTAGTTAGTTTACTATCTCTGCACAGGAAAGGGAACAGAGAGAGCGTTACGAGAAGGTAAACACCACTCCATAAGTTACAATGGATGGAAAGGATTTGCCACTGGCTAAAACCTGTAAGGTATATGAGAAGTGTGTTCTACAAGCGCATTTATGACACGGCCCAGGGTGAGCAAGCTCTTATTTATTTCCCCCGCTTCTCGCGCACGACCCTGTGTTACAATCGCAGCACTTCATCAAAATAAGATGGCCATTCCAAATGAAGATTTATAAATAATTGTAAACTCATGCTGGGCTTTCAGTTCTTTAATATTGTCTGCAGATGAGGCACTAAATTATTATAACAAGTAAACATTCACATTCCATAGAGATGGCTAGAATTTGAGTAATAAATCTAAGTTGCTAGATGAAGATCACAATAGTGGGATAACATTAATGATATATAAAGGAGTCTATTCTAATATTCAGGGTATTCTTTGCCGATCTTCACAAAAAATATAAAGCAAACTGCAATCTGTTTCTTATTTATATATATATATATATATATTCTATTTTCTTTTTATTTTTCTTGGAACAATTTAAATTAATCATAATTGCTAGGTTAAATAAATTGTTGAAAAATCAAGGAGCCTGCTAAAAGCAGTATGTTGAACTTAAAACTCCACACAACCCTGTGCAACTCAATAGGTAAAAGACAACCATGGATAAATTCAACGATGGTGCACATTATCATGCCAAATCTCACTAAATGTCCAACAATGTTCTGAGCAACAATCTTTTGTGAATCAGACGTGTACATTTTATAGGAGAAAGCCAAAGTTAACAACACAAGACAACTTTTAAAAAATTGGCAACTTTTATCCGAATTACAGTTTATAATTTCGTAATTCCATTAAAAAAATCACATTTTCAGTACTTCAATTAATCAGGAGAACAATCCAAAATTAAGAAGAAATGATTGCCAAACAGTAAAACCCGAAGTTAATTTCATACCTCTATGCACTTGAACTATTGTTCAGTATTTTACTTTTGTTTCATGAATCAAAAACAAATATTGTTCAAATAGACATAGTTCATACTTCATAGATTCCCGAAAGGAACTAAAATATTATTAGTTCAGTTAATCACAAGTGTAATTTCCGTTCTTCCATTAATCAATTAAAAGACACACACAATTATATGAATAAAACAAAGAAGAAACAACTGCCAAACTAAATCTTTAGTCGTTTTCATACCTCCCGTGCACCTGAACGAGAAATATTTTCTGATCCTGCCAAATCAACAAGATTAAGCTTGCCACATTTAATGAGCTCTTCATCTCCAACAGTTGTTTCTTTTATGTGGACAGTTATGGTAAATACAGAATGAGAACGGCTGCAATAGAAGTAAGTTCAATTTTATTACACATGGATTTTTCTGAATTGAATATCATTAAAAATGAATTAAATTAAATACTACCTGCTGTGCTTGTTTAACAATGTATCTGCTGTACGCCTTTTAGCCGCTCCTCGTTCCAAAAGGGTATAAATTTCATTTGCACTGTAAACAGCTTCTTCTTCGAGGCCTCTTACAACCACACAACCTTTTCCATCCTCCATTAAAGAAATGGGTTTCTTTTGCCTGTCATCGAAAGATCTTGAATTGTCTTCAGTAGCTAGCAAATCAGTTACTTCTTCATTATAAAGCTCCAAAAAGGTCACTTTCATACTATAATCAGCATTCTGTGCCTCCAGTGTATCAAAAATTTGGCGAACTGCTCTTGGAATGACACCAGCCTCAGCAGGCAAATCACCACCCTATGACAAATAAGTGCAGTTTTATATAAAAATAAAAGAAAGAGTGGATGCTAAAGCTCATAAAAATAATAAAAAATATACCACATCGGATACCTTATTTCTCATCCCTCCCTCCATTGTATATGTCTTACCAGTGCCTGTCTGCCCATATGCAAAGACAGTGCAATTGAAGCCATCAAGAACTTCATTAACAATAGGAGCAACGGCTTGGTCATATATTGATCTTTGTTGTGCTTTGGGCCCAAAAACCTTTATATGTAACCATGCAAGATCAGTATATACATCTTATAATACATAATGCATATTAGGAATCATGGACTTAGGTGTTCATAATAGGACGAGGCATACCTTGTCAAAGGTGAAAACTCTATCTACTTGCTTGTTCGCTAGACTTTGCAAAACAGTGACTTCCCTTTTATGTTCATTACATGTTATCACCCTTGGCACATTCAACCTTTGCTCATCATCATTTAATGGCCTAAAAATTGAAATAATATTAAAAATTAGCTAAAGGATTGAATATTCTTTTTTCACAAACCAGTCCTGCATATAGTATTGTCTAGACTTGGGACAACTCATGATCAGAAATTAAATCCATTAGTGTAGAACAGCATGGGGGTGCAATATACTGGAGATATCAATTCTTGATCGTCAACCATTAGTCTTTGACGATAATATGAAAATTAAACTGTTTTACTTCTAAAATTGTTGAGGAATAAAAAATTTATGATATTTGGTTAGGTCAAATATCCAAATTTCCTTGTAGCACAAGAACATGGTTAAAATGATAAAAATAAAATAAGTAAAAAGGAAGAAACATTTCTACTGTCTAACATGCAATAAACTAAATCCAAGGTCCTAATACATGGGGAGTATTCGCAACAAACATCACTGCATACAAAAGCAACCCTAAACTATAAAGATTACAAACCCTAATAGAACAACAACATAAGAGTTACAAATGTTGCATCAACATCTAGGGGTACTCACGATGGATCATAGGATCAGATAGGACATCATAAGATTACACAAACCTTTACTCATGAAAATATATTGAAAAATTAAGATAAATACCCTCACATGAATTAAAAATTTCATCATAACATTACAAATCATTGGCCCACGGAATGCAGTCTCCTCTGCCCTCATAGAAGAAGGGTTTGTGACTCGATCTTCTTTAAGATGTTGCCAAGATGATGCATAAATGGTATTAAAGCCCAACACATTCAAAGGTACTAAAATATAAACATCAACAAGTCGAAAACTAAACTGATGTGTGCCCGCGGACATATTAGTACATATCAATGCTTGAAAACACATATAAAAATTCAGACACAAAATTGATAAAGAAAGAAAATATCTCAGAAAGTAAAACCCACCTGCATCTAAGCAAAACTTGAACATTAACCTCTCGATCTCTGTCTTGCCGACTCGAGTTCAAATCAAACCCACGTGGATCTGTGCGACGCCTTTCTGGTCTAGGCGTGAGAAATGGCGATGGAGATGGCGTTACCCCCATACCCACTTTTCTGAATTGATCAGGAGTAAGGGACATCATTTTTTATTTATCTACATGAACACAAAAACGTGAATCAGAGTATAGAACCACACAATCTACAAAGAACCCAAAAGAAATCGAGCTTCAATTTTTCAACACTACAAGGTACAAAAGATAACCCATATCGAATTTATACTATAAATATGTATACGTATATATACAAAATCAATAAATAAATTGTAATTGTACTTACACGGGGTTCTCGGTTTAGAAGAAAATTTGGTTGAAACCCTAAAATTAGGCTAGAAAAGTGAGCTTTTGCACCAAAAAGGGTTTCTTTATGACTGGGTTTTCTGTTTCTCTCTCTCTAGGGTTTGTTCTTCGTTTTGTCTGGTGCGTTTGAATGTGAGGAAGAGTGAAGAGTTGTCTGAATTTCTAACGGCTAGTTGAGGTATTTGTAGTAGATAGCCGTTGAGACAGGCGCACTCTGCGAAGATCCTTGCATTTTCTTGAAAAAGTGGGACCCTTCGATAACAAATTCAAATGGGAGGCGCGTTGGCAGATTGGTTGCAAATTTTTTACATAGATATGGGAATTATGACAAAAATTTTCTAATAAGTTTTTACATTGTTAAAAAAATAAATCATAAAAATCTATTTTATGAGTGAAAATAACAAAACACGAATTTATGTGATAGATCAAAAAGAAATAGATCGAGTTTGATTAAATCAAGTGTTTAGCTTCATAGTCATCGGTAAATAAGTAAGTATCGTCCAAAGAAAAATAAATATATTACTAAAATGAAAATAATAGAATACGATTTTTATTTTTATTATTATTAATTTTTTAAAAAAAGGTTTCCAATAGTTATAATCCAATCTTATATCATCTGCCTTTTAAAGTTTTATTTTAAATTATATTGACCTTTCACGAGGTTTGAACAAATTATACATGTATAAATTATTCAACATTTATTACTTTGACTTCCCCTACGATTTGGTACATGTGCTCAACGACACCTTCTTTCTAAAAGACCCATCCACAAATTATACACATATAAATCATGGGAGTAATTTTGTTGTTCAATTGTATAAAATGCAATATAATATTATTATAATATAAGGGTATTAATGACTTTCACACACGAAATAGCTTTTTGGTCACCTATAAACAAGTTTAAGAGAAGTCATGTGTAATTGACTTAAACTTTAAGGAAGGTCGGTGTAATAAAATTAAAGGTAAAGTACAACCACACCTCTTGAGGTTTGGTAAAATAACACTCAATTGAAACTTACTTATTTTTTGAACAAAGACACCCTTTTACATGAGAAATTAACCAAATGACCCTTTGACCGATTAGGAGACTTTTTTAACTTTACAATTTAATAAATTGGACCAATCTACCCTCATGAGCAATTTATGCATAAAAAAAAGTTACAAAAAAAAAAAAAAAAATTTATGTTGTTCACTTTTTTTTTTTTTTTTGTTATTTACTTTATAAATGTCCCAACTTTTTAAAAATGTAGGCGTCTAAAATGATTTTTTGATTCAATACATATATTTCAAATAAATTATATTTTGTTATTACTTCTTTTCTTTTCTTTTTTTAATTTTTAAATTAAGATACTTAATTCTTTCATCTAAAAAAATTAAACCAATCTCTTTTCCTTAAAAATAAAAAATATGCATCTTAAATTATATATAAAATATTATGCATTTCCTAACATAAAAGAGAAAAAAATAATAATAATAAAACAAAGGGAAAAAAAAAAAGGCATACATAAAGTTATACGGGTACCTATTTTCTTTTATATTGGGAAATGCATAATATTTTATATAATTTAAGATGCATAAAGTTATACTGGTACCATATTTTTTATTTTTAAGGAAAAGAGATTGGTTTTATTTTTTTAGATGAAAGAATTAAGCATCTTAATTTAAAAATAAAAAAAGAAAAAGAAAAGAAGTAATAACAAAATATAATTTATTTGAAATATATGTATTGAATCAAAATATCATCTTAGACGTCTACATTTTAAAGGAAAAAAAAAAAAAAAAAGAAGTGAACAATACAAAGTTTTTTTTTATGCATAAATTATTCATGAGGGTATATTGGTCCAATTTATTAAATTATAAAATTAAAAAAGTCTCCTAAAAGGTCAAAGGGTAATTTGGTCAAAAAATTTTATGTAAAGGGGTGTCTTTGTCCATTTTTGAACCTTCAGGGGTATTTTTGTCCAAAAAAACAGGTAAGTTTTTTCTGAGTGTCTTTTTGCCAAACCTTAAGAAGTGTGGCTGTACTTTATCCTAAAATTAATCTTTGTAATTGACCTGAGTTTTTATTATATATATTGGTGGTGTAAATTGATTTTAATTCACACTTCAAACCAAGAGGAGGAAGAAGGATGTCACATAATTTTATTTACCGATTGCAAATAGTCTAATAAGTAGTTTGCCTTCAATGGGGTACAATCAACATCATGGGGAGCTATTAAAAGGAAAAAGCGGAGCAAATAGCATCCCGATTCTGAAAGCCACTCCACAAACACTCTCACTTTGTTTCGTGAAGCCTCAACCCTCAAGCTCTCCTCTTTATGGATCAGTGGTTTCTTTTCCATTGATTTGATTTCTAGCATTCACGAATAAGGATGAGAATGACTACTCAACGGGATTCCTTTTCCATTCTGTCCAAAACCCATCGTTTCCCATTCCGATCCAATCTCAACCCACTATATAAATTTTTTTTTAAAAAATAATATTTAATATTTTGTTAATTTATTATTCCTATTAAAATAAAATCCAACATTACAAAACAATATAACAATAAGAGTAGAACATTGAGGGAAATACAAAACAATATAATAGTCTTGGGGTAAGAATTTAACACAATACAGTCATCCAAAATGGTACAAGAAGTAAACATGGCGCTTACTCTCACATTTCTACAAAACTCAGTTGTCTCCCCTCCAGTCCAGATTTACTTTGGAGTATCAGAGAGGCACTGATCCATAGAACACTACCTCAGCTGGGCCAGTCATGTACACATGATTGTCTTCCTCCTTCCATTCAATCTCCAATGGCCCTCCAGGCAAATCAACAGTACAACTCTGTTTCAAGATAACAAAATTTGAGTGTGTGAGAACGAGAAGAAGATCCGCAGTTGTATAGATAGAAACAGTGGAGCAGTTTGAGAATTCGACACTAAAAGGAAATTGCTAGCGTCTCATATTGCGTAATTTTTTCCTAGCTAACTTTTCTTTAAGCTTGTACTAATTCCTCATTAACATGGGAGGCTGGCCATTGCCAAATCAAATAAGTGGGCAACCACCAAAAGTGGCATTGAAATCCTAAACAAAAGATCCACAGTGCGATGAATTTATGTCCTTTTAGTTTATAAAGGCTCACATTGCACCTAAATTTATACTAACATAGCATCCTTACCCTCCCAGCACGACCCTCAAGAACTGCTGCAACAACCACTGCACAAGCTCCAGTTCCACAGGCAAGTGTTGCTCCTACAACAGCAACACGGTTAAGCTTCAAATACATTAAAAAATAATAATAATTAAAATTTGAGCTTCCAGGACAACATCAAATTCATCCATGGCTTCCGGTGCAATAAATGAACACGCGGCATATATGTCTTTTGAGGAAAGGAAAAAACTAACCTGCACCACGCTCCCAAACACGCATTTTTAGGTGTGAAGGAGAGAAGACTTGCACAAATTCTGTAAAATCAAAACAATATGGAGATAATACTGGCAGCCATGAAATCCCCAAAAATAAATAAATAATAGAAACAGATAAGTAAAAATTGGGCAAAACACACAAATGAACAAAAACTGACCAGTGTTTGTTCGGGCAGGAAACATATCATGATGCTCAAAGTTTGGACCAATTTCTGCTAAATTTAATTCATCAACCTGCAAATTCTGTATACCAAGAAAAGTAGGTAGAGAACAAAATCAGCCAGGTAAGGAAATGCGAAATAGGATACTGGTATGGAACAGACACTTCATAGAAGACTTAACAGGGAAGTTAAAAATGAATATGCACACAAATTAGAAATCCTTCCCTAGAATGACCAAAAGAAATACCTGGCTCCCTTTTGTACCAAAAGTGACACAATGAGGATTTCCCATACTAACACATGTCACACTCCAGGTCACTCCATCTACATCTAGTTCTGATTTTACAACAGACTGATCTTTATTTGCAGGTAACTTTGTAGGAACATTGGGTGCCTTCAATATAGGTTCACCCATATCAACTCTAACCTGAAATTGCAACAAGAAAATGCCCAATCAGGTTATAAACTTATAATAAACAACTAATTCCATCAATTTATTTTGCTATCAAAGTTTTCAAGGAATTCAGAACAGCAACTAACTATTGCCTATTGTCAAATAATACTTCAAGGAGGGAAAAAATTGAGGCAGTTATGCCAGAAATGTCTAGCAAGGATTAATCTGTTATTTTCTTAATTGATAGGTAGAATTGCCTCTATAGGATAATAATAAACTTATACAGAACTGTTAGTGTGACTTGTGTCATGGCAATTATATGTCATACAGATTCAACAGTTATGAATTATGAATGAAGATACTTGAATGTAAGTATAAAATATTTAATGCCTACAAAGCAACTCACTTGTCAGAATTCATACAAATCACAATAGATTAGATTCAGAAGAGAATATAAATTACCTTCCCGTTTTCTTGAATTTCAGGAACAATTAGACCAGCACCAGTATGTATAGTGAAACTGAAAAATATGGGGAAAAAAGAAGTAAGAAACCACTGCTAAGTTTGATTTTAAATAGGTAAAAGAATAATAAAATAGTAGCATGGAAACACAGAATATTATGTATTGCAGTATAACATCATAAACAATTAACTTTTCTTTGCATGACTAGATATTGTTCATTCATTTAACCTTGTAGGGAACACATAAATTTGGAAGCAGCTAAAATAGAACCCAAAAGAAACCAACAAATTCATCATTATCACATTAAAAAGAAGCCAAAAGGATAGCAGTCATTAAATTTTATTTTAGCATTTCATTATTAAGGAAAAGAGCTAATAATGGGTTGTTGGTGATTTGGTAGTTCAATAGTTTAATAGATCCCAACAGAACCCAAAAAGTAACACTCTATCACATTTTAAAAGATCCAAAAGGTTAGCATTTCATTATAATGTCAAGAACTAAGAATAGGTAATTGTTAGTCTAATAGTTTAATCGCAATTATGTAGGAAATATACATGTAATGATTACATATTTTTAACAAATCATCAGTGACTTTATATACTTGGGAAAAAATATATATATACTCCACATAACAGCATGCTTAAAAATCACCTAGAATTTGTGAAATATAGGACTTCATATTTAAAACCAAGGTAACAAGGAATTCTATAGAAGAAGAATAAAATTAAGTAGAATTTTTGAAATATAGGACTTCATATTTAAAACTAAGCTAACAAGGAATTCCTATATAGGAAGAGTAAAATTAAGTATTGAGCAAGCAATGGGCCCAAAGAAGAGTAAATTTAAGAATTGAGCAAGCAATGGGCCCAAAAAGGGTCAAATTTGACAATGGCCTTAAAAAGATTAGACCTAAAACTCATCAATCACTACAAGCAAACCAAATAAATAAAGAAGACATGAAATTGAACATCACTGCAAACTTTCTAAAGGAGTGAACAAAGATGTAATGAAGGAAACCATGAACAGAAGGTGTAAACTTGAGTAATATATGATACTACTCTACGAAACTAGAGTAAAATATATGATACTACTCTACGCTGTGTTCTAACAAGAACATTGATGAGGGATAAACTGACATGAATTACAGCTCATAACCATACCTTTTCTTCCCATGTAAATTATCAAGCTCAGCAATAAATCGGGCAAAGCACCGGACTCCATTACCGCACATCTATATTATAAGAAAGTAAGCATCTTAAAACAGAATAAAATCATAGTTTTCAGCAAAAATAACTAAGTAAAAAAGCAAACAGAGAAAAACAGCTTATACTACTCAATTGTTGCATATATTTCACTCGGACGCATAAAAATTGTTAATGATCTAAAACCACAAGAACCAAAAGCAAAACAAGCAAGTAATCCGCAACATTAAAAGAATGAAACAATTCACCAAATTATTTAAATTAAATTGGGAATATATTTGAGCTTAAATTCAGACCGAGACAATAATGAAATAGACCAGTAGGAAGAATAACAAATTACCTCAGGTTCACTACCATCAGAATTGAAGATCCTCATGGTATAATCAGTGCCATTTACTCCTGGCATAACAAAGATCACTCCATCTGCACCTATGCCGAAGTTCCTATCACATAGTTTCACTGCTTGCTCCGGAGTGATCCTAGGCTCCATTGAACTACGATTATCAACCTAATCATAAACAGCTTGCAAGATTATTTTTCAGTATCGATCATATGCAAAAGTAGTAATCAAAATATCAACTATGTGATGCCTCAAAATTCACAACTTAATTTCAGAGTTTCTCATCAACCAAACAGAACACTGCAAAATTATTCGTCTATTTCTTTACCATGATGAAGTCGTTACCGAGTCCATGGTATTTGACGAAGTGAAGGAATGCACTTTCTTTCCGATCAAGAAAGGAAGTCCGAGAGAATTTCTCTGGGGCATCGATGCTCATTGAAGAAGCTGATACGCTAAAGTTAGGGTTTCGAAGAGTATTGACTGATCTGAAAATGTTTGGTTGGAAAGAAAAAGAAGAAAATCGAGAGGTGTTGATGAAGAAGGAAAAGGGTAGAGAGCAGCGATTTGGTGATGTGAGAGAAAATGAAATGGCGGCGGCTATAGCCATGGCGTAACAGCTCTCTCTCTCTAGAATCAACAGAGCGCTGTTTCTGTTTCTGTTTCTGTTTCTGTTTGGTTCCAACTTTGAAAGTGAAAAAGAAAGGTCAATCCAAACGTGCCGCTATGCATTCAATTGTGGGCTCAATTTGGGCCACTATCACTTTATTAAGCGCGGCTATTTACAGGCGGCCTTAGTATATCCAATTTGGGCCACCTAATGTGTTCTTTGAATTATATGCAATAGAAAGGAAAATTAAAATATAAATTACCATATGCAATGCAGACAAACTAGATTAAAAGTGAGCAATGAGGAGGTTATATATGTATTATATAAATATATAGTTGTAAATGGTATTATTTTAGGAGATTGTAGATTCCTATATTTCTGATGTTCACACCTAATTTTCTTTCTTTCCCTTTAAAATATTTCTTATTTTGTGTCACTCAAAAATTTAGATGAATTGTGACGGCAAGTATATAAAAATTATATAAGGATAATATAAACAAATGAAGATGGTTAACAATTAGTCATACAGAGAAAATGAGGGATTTTACGACCCTACCTGCATAAAGCAAAGTGAATTTGAATTACATTTAATACGAATGTTATTAAAAGTCCGTCCTACCATTTAACTTTATTACTCCCCTAACTTAAAAAGAAATTCCTTGACTTGGTAACCAAATTTTTCTTAACGGAACTAAATTTTATTTAATTTTAATTATAAAAATACATTGATATTCAAAGAATTTTCAAGGAATTTGAATTCTCAACCTCCAATTTGACTATTTTTATTTATTTATTTATGGACTTTCTCACCACCTTATTTTCTTTGAACGCCGCTTCTCTTTGTGGAAGTTTGCTAGAATCCATCACCACCCTAACCTTCCACATATATTACAATATACACCCCCCCCCCCCCCCCCCCCACACACACACACACACATATCTTGTTACCTCTGTTATTTCAGAGAGATGGAAGATATGACTTCTTTTTGGGATTACCAAGAGGTGGGTGACTTCATTTTCATTCTTTAAATATCTTTGTTTAACAGTTTCTAATTGACATATTTTCTTCATTATGGATTGGGCTTGATTTTAGCTTTCTTTGTCTTCCATGCTATTAAGTTTTTCAGACACTTCTCTTCAATTATCCATGCTAATAAATTAATGCTATGTTGTAGTTGTCATTAATTGTTTTAACTTAGCTGCTTTTTTTTTTATTTTCTTTAATTTATTGGTATGAAAAGTTTAAATGGATCTCTGAGTTCATTTGTGTCCCTTGTGGGTAATTTATGTAACAATCTTTAACTAAAACTGGATGTGATCTAATGAATAACTAAGTTGTTCTTTTTCTTTCTGAATGATGTATATAATTTATAAATCAATTAATCCAAAAAGGTTAATAGGTTTTAATTTGAATATCTTATTTACAGCATTTTAACTATACACATATGTTCATTTCCCACTCCTCCATACAAGAGTTGTGCTCATTAAATAGATCATATCCCCATTCATTCTAGCTTTTGTCGAGATCAATTGTTGTTGATTAGATAGTGGATTCTATCTGTATCTTATGAAAGTTAAAACATCTATTTTTATAGACAACATGTTTGTATTTGATTTATGAAGATTGCTGTTTTTGTTTTCATCTGTTGAATAAACTTTTCTTTTTCTTTATTTTTTTTATTCTGCCAAATATAAATGATTATATAAGAATATTAATTATCTGCAATTTGCTTTATGAATAAAAGATTCATTCTATGTAGTCAGGTTTTCAAGATTGTTCATTTTAGACAACTTTTGATGGTCTTAACAAAAATAGGCACGCAAGTGATTGGTATTTGCACTTTTAATTCATGATCGAATTTGTGTAGTTTAATTTGGGGAAATAGCATTGTATGTAATGGATTTCATAAATAAATGAAGATTTATGTTGCAACTTGTGTTTTTACATTAAATTGATGCATGATCCATACTGAATTCATATACATAAGTATTCCATTCTCATCAACATTGCTCGGTTCCACCACGAAATGTCATCTTTTAAAGCTCGGAATCACTTGTGTATCACTTTTTTGAAACTATTATTGTTATATCCTTCAGCAATGTATACTTGAGCTTAAACACAAGCTTCTCTGCACCACATTCGAGCTTGAATCAGCAAAAACAGAAGCAAAAAAAGAGATGACAAAAAACGAGAAAAATGTAAATCATTTACTTGAGCTCTTGAAGATGGCTTGCCAAGAAAGAGATGAAGCAAGAAATCAAATTCAAACACTGCTGAACAAAGTAGTGCTACATGAGAACTGGACAAAAGCACATTCAAATGCCATAATAATGGATCATTCATCAGAAACATACAAGTATCAGTCGAGTGGCTGCTTCCCAATTGATTGCTACTTTAATCCATTTTCTTCTTCAAAATTTCCGAGGACAGGCTTGATTTATAGGAGTAACATAGGACAATGTAGCGGAGGTATCTCAATTGGTGATGCTTCAGATGGTGTAATTGATTATCTTGTTAAGGGGAAGCCCCTGCCTCAAAAAGGAAAACTCGTGCAGGCTGTAATAGAGGCCGGACCATTGCTTCAGACACTTCTCTTTGCAGCACCTCCTCTTCCTTGGTGGCAGAAACCTCCCTCGCCATTATACTTGCCAATTCCATACTTCCCCCATAAAGAAGCTTCACTTAATCAGAATTCTGCAGACAATTCAGATGGTAAATTTTCAAATTCCTTGTGCTCTTCAAACCAAGATGTCTCTCGCAGATTTTCACAGATTCCTTCTAAAACGAAGACGAGCTTTGCCTTGCTCTTGAACAAAGAGTGTCCACTATCCAACATTACCAACTGTAGTTCCTTGTCCAATGAACTAATGGATGGGAAAGGGCGAAGGTGCCAATGAAAGCATATTTTTTCTTGAATTGGTTATGTTGAGAAATTTTTTTGACACGATACTATAGTTTATCTACCCAGGTTTGGCTATTTTGGTTTATTTTGACATCTTCATAGCTGCACTTCTGCTTGGTTAAAATTGAAAAACTTCTTGGTTATCTGAAGTACCGAAAACTAAAAATTGTATTCTTAAATCAAAGTAGAATAACTTTCATATTGTATGCTTCCTTGTGTAAGCCACGCGCAAGCATACTCCGTATGGCATGTGGAGATATGGGTTTTGAGTCTCACATTTTTGTAGAAAGTAGTAGTCTTGAAGAGATTTAGAACATTAGAGAATATATTTGTAAAAATTTGTTGATGGGAGAGATTTCTATAACCATAAGAGAGTTTTGTATGAATTGTAAATATTTAGATAGTTAGATAGAGGATTTGTAAAAATTTGTAGATGGAGAGAATTCTAGATCGGTAGGAGGGTTTTGTGGGAAATGTAAATAATTTATATAGTTTGGTGGAGTATTGTGTAAATTTTAGTGGTTGATAATAATACATCACATCCGTCCACCAGAGGAGTATGTTGTATGTCTCTATATAAGGAGCATGTTGTATGCCGTCAAATTTAAGAACGAGTCTGAAAGGTTAGAGGTGAGGGTCTAGGTCGTGATTTTCAGTTTGAAAATAGTGACTTTTAAGAAAATCGTGACTTTGAGAGAGAAATTATCGAGTTTTCAGAAATCATAATGCAATTTGATGAAAAACTTTGAGAATAGAATTAGGAAAAAAAACAACTAGTAAGCATATTTTTAATGTTTAATAGAAAATTTCAGCAAACGGTACACAAACAATCAATTTTTTTTTAATTTTATTTTTATAAAATATGTGTAATTAATTGAGTATCATCTCAAGACATGCACCACAACAAAGACGGTTTATAGATTCTTGAGTATAATTATATTTTTCTTTTTGGGGATTAACATTTGATTGTTCCATTTTTTACTATATTGAATCTTTTTTATTATATGTATAAGTTATTGTGTGTACATATGAAAGTTGCAGAAATATCTTTCAAAGTTAAAGGAAAAAAATTATTTAAAGAAAGTACTTGATTTTAGGAGAATAATTTTTAATATTTTGGAATAAGTGTTTGGAGGGCATCATAAACAATAGTTATTGATACATACGTAATTATTTTACTTAATTCAATCAAAGTGAAAAATAAACTTTTAAAATAGATCAGTTTGTTATTAAAAGACCCTAACTCTATGTAAGTGTAGTTTTCCCTTTTGTCATATTTATATATATAACAATTGTTTATAATGAATATCATTACAACTGTTTATGAAATTTAATTTTTGAATTTGAATTCTAAATATACACAGGATAAGGAAAAATAGGATTTGCATAATAGTAAAGTATTCAAATGGTAGTTCTTACGGGTGGAGATGATGGGGTCGGTTCATGGATTTTTCTTCCTTTTGTCGCATTTCACTCAAAGGGTTGAAGAGAGATAGTACATCAAGCTATCCGCAAGAGCTAACTTGATCCTCTTCCCTAGAGATCCCAGATGAAAGAGCCGACTCCAACTACCATCCATGTACGATGCATACTAAATCTAACCAACTGTACATCATACTTCCTCTAAGTTCTAAAGGAACTCATTCCTACTCTCACCAGTAAGTTAGATCCTACAAACACTCGATGTCATGCATATTAGAATAGGGACAATTACCATCTTCATTACCTTCATTTTTAAACATTTAGTTTTAATTTCTTTCTTCAAGGAGAGATGAACATCATAGCTTCACATCCTAATATTTCTTTTTTTAAAAAATTTCATCCTAATATTACAATGCCAATATTCTTAAAGAAACCTTAGTTAGAAACCTTAGCAGGAGAAAAAACTTACAAATAGAATTTACAAAAACAAACCTTACAAATAGATTTTTCATCCTAATATATATATATATATATATAATGAGGCGATATTCGCACTCTACTTTTCAACATTTGCACCACAATCTTAAATGAAACGACAATTCTAACCTTACCTTTACAAGTAAATAATTAATACTTTTTAAATGACACACTGCCCTTTCAATTTTTCTCTCCTTATCTCTAATCTTTAATATTTTAAGTATCTTTTGACAACACAAATAAAATAAAAATTGAATAATTTTTTTTAAGGGATAAAAAAAATAAAATAAATTGTTATGTTGAAAATTGCCTCTTTTGGCCGGATAAAAAAATTATCTCTTTTGACATGAAGAAAAAAAAAGTCCTATCTCTATTGAATAAATTATCTATTTTTGATAAGACCAAAAAAAAAAAAAGGTTATTTTTATCGAATAAATTATTTCTTTTAATTTACCAAAAATAAAGTTACCTCTTTTGACAAAATTGAAAAAAAAAAGTCAATTTTGTTGAATAAATATCTCTTTCGATTGTACAAAAAATAAATAAAATAAAAGTCACTATGGAATAAATTTTTCCTTTTGACCGCCAAAAATAATTATTATTAGTATAGAATAAATTATTTTCTTTGAGATGACCTCCGGAAAAAAACAAAAAGAAAGGAAAAAAATAGTAAAAAAAGGTTTAAAAAAAAATTAAAATTGTGTAAAGGGTAGTTATGATATTATAAATTAAGGAATTGTCCATTAATGAATTCAAGGACTTTCTTGTCATTTCTTTTAAAAAAAAATGATAAATGTAATATAATTGGAAAAAAGTGGAGTAAGAATATCACCTACCTTAGTTAGAAAATTTAGAGTGATGGGGATCCCTTCACTTATATTTTTATGTGATATCTTTCAAAATATAATTCATGGCCTAGCAATGCCTGCCAAAGATAACCAAGCAAATTGGCCTATAACATGATAGAAGGAAGAAGAATTAACAGCATATTGTCACAGGCCTAGAGATTTGGCGCAGCGGCACGGCCCGTGCGGCACCAAGGTGTTGTTTCAGCTTGCGCAAGTGCCCTGGTCAACCACCATGACCTACCCTCCTAAGGATACATGCTGACTGGTTTTGATCTACCTTGGTCTCATCAGGGAGACGGCTCCAGCTCCCGACCAGTTTGTGCAGGGATGGCCAACTCCCTTCTTCATAGTCAAGTCCACGACCAGCGACAAGCTCCTCGCACTCAACCGAGTTGACCTGTCTGAACTCTGAAGAGGTACCATCCTGTGCTCCTGCACGCCTCTTTTCTATAACCATTCCCAGTCAAACTCTACTCTTTGCCAACCAGTATGCGTGTCTTCCATTCTCCAAGCGTCTTATGAATCACTTCGTGACACTTTCCCCCACCCAAATCCTGCGACGCCCTCATCGCAGTGCGGCGCTTCACTATTGCATCCATTCCCTTCAAAAGTCTGCCTCCAAGCAGTATGCTCGCCTTCTCACCATCGCTTCCTTGTACAACTCCCTGCACTGCACTAGCCCAATGATAGGCCTCGGACCAAAGGGACATCCACTCCTCAAGGACGTGACTCTTCTCCGTCATGCCGCCTCCGCGACATCTCGAGCAAGCAAAGGCCTTCTGCCGACTTGATACTCACCCTTCACCATGGTTTGCTTCACCCAAGGACTAAGCACGAACTTTGGTACGCGGGGCCCTCCGGTGCGCAACTTCAACGGACGCCTCTTCCTAGGGAGATGGAGGCTTTCCCCCACAACTGCATTGATTTCTACTCATCGACGCAACTTCAGTGCACCGTCTTCATTCTCAAACCCTTCCCGGATCGACAAGGGAGCACCCCACCGTGCTTTACCCCAAGTCCTGCTCTGATACCATTTGTCACGGGCCTAGAGATTTGGCGTAGCGGCACGGCCCGTGCGGCACCAAGGCGTTGCTTCAGCTCGGGCAAGCGCCCTGGTCAGCCACCACGACCTACCCTCTCAAGGATACATGCTGACTGATTTCGACCTGCCTTGGTCTCATCAGGGGAACTGCTCCAGCTCCCGACCAGTTTGTGCATGGATGACCAACTCCCTTCTTCATAGTCAAGTCCACAACCAGTGACAAGCTCCTCGCACTCAATCGAGTCGACCTGCCTGAACTCTGAAGAGGTACCATCCTGTGCTCCTGCACGCCCCTTCCCTGGAACCTTTCCCAGTCAAACTCTGCTCTTTGTCAACCAACATGCGTGTCTTCTATCCTCCAAGCGTCTTAAGAATCACTTCGTGACAATATGCTAATTTGTATGGCCTGATAATATCGGAACTCATTCCATTAATTTTCTTTTTAATCAATAACAATGAATGGCCTCTAATTACTTATCCCAAAAAAAAATAATAATAAATAAATAAATAAACAAAAATTTCATTCCATTAATTTAATTTTATTATTATTATTATTTTGTTATTGGCAAGAAACAGCATACTCACTTTGCCCATTTGGAACTCGAACCTTCACCATCCACTTTGAGAGGTAGAGAATATACAACTAGATCACAAGACCCTTGTTCATAGCCTCTAATTGAGGAGGGTAAATTCTTATTCAATTATCTTCTAATTTATTATTATTATTATTTTTTTCTTCTAATTTATTTTTTATTATTATTTTTTTTTACGTCCATAGCAAATTCATAACATACAGCAAACTCTTTAAACAAAATAACTTAAAATAGGCTTCTGTCTGGTGTCTTTTTCTATCAACAAAATAACTCAAAATTTAGACTGGCTTCAGTCTTTTTCTTTCAACGCCTATGCAGATCGAATAGCGGAATAGGTATTTCCCTGGAGTGCAAGGTGGGCTTTGCTGGGTGACTAGGGCCTTCTAACTTAACCACTCTAATCTTCAATCTTATACATTATACTTTTTTTTTTATTATACTCCGTGTGTGTATATATACGCGAACCTATACATATGTATTGAACTTTAAAGCATCGTTTTTGTTGCATTTAAATGTACAGTGTTTAAACTTCTTTAACATCTCAACTTCATAGTCGAGGATTTATTTCAAAAGAAATACAGTAATCTTTTAATATAAATTAACTTCAAATTAAAAAACAGTACTTATTATTAACTTTAAAAATAGCCATTTGTCATTCAATCTAACATTTATATTATTATAATTATCTTTCATTTTTATTAAGAAAAAATATATTTATTATCATTCTCTTTCTGCAAAATATAAATGAAAGTAACTCTTCATTCCCCTTGAACATTAAATTTATATGGTCTCATTTAATGGTGGATGCTCGGCTTGCTTCCTTTTTTTTTTTTTTTTTTTTTTTTCCCATTTTTTTCTTTCTTATCTAGGCAAGAACCTTACACACTCACTATATTCTTAATAGGGACTCGACCTTCCAACCTTCTACTTTATAAAATAAAGAAACACTATTATACTAGAACATTAGATAGTACTTATAATTTATATTTTAAAATGCAAAGAATAAATTTAATCATATTAAAATTATAATATTTTTTTCCTTGTTTCTTGTTAGGGAGGGTAATTTAAAATTTAAAATTTAAAATGTTAGTTTGAAAGTCATCCACAAAAAAAATCACACTTTATAAATCGAAGTCATTTTCTAATAAAGCAATATATAAAATTTAATCTTCCAAGTTACTCAAATCAAATTTGGGCCTTATATTTTTGGGTCTAAAAAGTAAAAATAATAAAATTTAAATAAAACAGAGAGAGAATTGAATATTGTCTATATTAATAACATTTGAATTGTTTTCCCTTGGGCCTCAATTTTCGCTGAGCAGGCCCTGTTACCCATTGGCTCTTCTTCAAACCGTCACACTTCTGAGCACCTGATCAAGGATCTATTATGGAGCCAAACGAATGAAACAGGTATTCAAAAGTTTCTTAGAGGGAAATTCTTGTTTTAAATGAGAATATTTTATTTAATTAGTATGTGATACGTGTCGTTCCTCCACACAAAGTTTTTTTATTTTATTATTATTATACAAAAGGTGTGGGGCCTTCAGAGTCACAAAAATGTGTATTGCACTATGAGTAAATGATCCGAAAGAAAGAACCAACCGAGCCACATATGAAATCCAGAATGTGTAAACTTTTTCTCTCTCAACCCAACTTAAATCCTCCTAGAAGAGCCCACACTTTGGCTTATAGCCATTTCTTTGAAACCCAAAAAGCTCATGGAAGTGCCATGAAATTAGGACTCTCGCTTTCAAACATTGCCAACTCTTACTGTGAAGCAAAGGCATTCTCGGACGCTCGTCAACTGTTCGACGAAGTGTCTGACTGGGACGTTGTAACAGCCACTACTGTAATAGGCTGCTTTGCCAGACACCACAATCATAAAGATGCCATCTATATCTTCTCAAGAATGCTAATGCTGAATATCAGACCCAATGAGTTCACCTTTGGCACCACAATTCACTTGTCTACTGCAGCCAAAGACCTCAATTTAGGCAAACAACTTCACGCATGCGCGACAAAGTTCGGCCTTACGTCGAATGTCTTTGTGGGTAGTGCAGTTTTGGATCTTTATTCCAAGTTGAGTACCATTGAGGAAGCTCGGAGAGCTCTCGAAGATACCCACGAGCCCAATGTGGTTTCTTACACAGGTTTGATATCTGGGTACCTTAAGAAAGAGATGTTTGATGATGCTCTCGAGCTTTTCAGGACAATGCCGGAGAGAAATGTCGTTTCATGGAATGCAATGATTGGGGGTTACAGCCAAAGTGGTCACAATGAAGAGGCTGTGAATCTTTTTATTGAGATGTTGAGAGAAGGTTTGCTGCCTAGTCAGTCTTCCTTTCCTTGTGCCATTAGTGCAGCTGCGAATATAGCAGCGCTTGGAAAGGGTAGAAGTTTGCATGCCTGTGCTATTAAGGTCTTGGGTAAGCTTGATATGTTTGTTGGCAATTCTTTAGTTAGTTTCTATGCAAAATGCGGCAACATGGAAGACAGTCTTTTGGTTTTCAGAAGACTTCAAGAAAGAAATGTTGTTTCTTGGAATGCTTTAATATGTGGTTATGCACAAAATGGAAGAGGAAAGGAAGCCATAGATTTCTTCCAAAAGATGCAATTCAGTGGTCTCAGGCCCAACAGTGTTACACTTCTTGGTCTTTTATTGGCTTGCAACCATGTTGGCCTTGTCGACGTGGGTTATTCATATTTCAATCAGATGAGACTCAAGAACCCCAACATGCTAAAACCAGAGCACTATGCTTGTATGGTTGATCTACTTTCGCGTTCTGGACGTTTTCAGGAAGCTGAGAAGTTTATTTGCAATTTGCCTTTTGATCCGGGAATTGGTTTTTGGAAGACATTGCTTGGAGGCTGTCAGATCCACTCAAATACAGAGTTGGGAGAGTTTGCAGCTCAGAAGATCTCGGCTTTAGATCCTGGAGATGTGTCGTCATATGTGATGCTTTCAAATGTGCATTCAGCCGCTGGAAGATGGCAGAGTGCGTCAATGATAAGACAGGAGATGAGGGAGAAAGGAATGAAGAGGATACCGGGATGCAGTTGGATTGAAATTAAAAGCAGAGTTCATGTGTTCGTCAATGGGGACAAAAGCCATGTGCTTAGGGATGAAATTTATACGATTTTGAGGTTCTTTCTTGAACATGAAATGGAGAGCCGAGCTTCCAACTTTTTATTAGAATCTTGAATCCATGTTAATCTGAGTGTAAACAAGACTGAAGAAGCCTATTTTAGGCTCCCTCTCATGCATTTTGAGTAGATGTTTGAAGATGAACTCATCTGTGAGCCGATATGAAATTAATTTTTATTCACAAGTCACAACTTTGCTTGGGGTCAAAAGTTTTACAAAGATAAGCTTGCTTCGGGAACTGGGAGGAATGGCTGAGACTCTTTCCATGCCAAACTGGCTGCCAAAAAAGCGATTGATCCAGTTGTGAATTCTCACGATTCATTTCCGGCCACTGCCAGTGGATCTGAACAGAGGTCACGTAAATAATTCGAAATATGCAAGGAGGGGTAATTTTATCACACACACAGTTGCCTTCCTACTTCTTCACATCGTGCTAGTGGAGAAAGACTTCATCCAAAAAGAAATTTTCATTTCCACATAATTTACCTGTAGGCAAGAGTTGTTCAATCAAATTTAGAAGCTCTTCTCATCAGAGCCTACCCTCAAATCTAGTAGAAATAATTTCAACCAGTCTTAAGCTAGATCCCTGTTCAGAAGAAACCATCACACGGAAGGAGATCAAGAAGCAATCTAGTAGAACTAATTTCAACCAGTCTTAAGCTAGATCCCTGTTCAGAAGAAACCATCACACAGAAGGAGATCAAGAAGGAAGAACTAAATGGCATGGCCATAGATGACCATAACACTGCTTCTTTAGGGCAACCATTTCATATACACATTCACGATGTCACCACTATAATGCCTGGATATACGCAAACCCAACTTATACAGAGGAACCAGGATGTTAATTTCACTTGTTTCCATGCTTAATTATGTGTTTTTTATGTCCAATCTCATTTGTTAAGAAACCTATGTGGAGCTATTTTTGCTCCGAAATTAGGAATAATTCAACAAAAAAGGGGCGTTGTCCAACTAGGGTTGAGTATCACGTTTTGGACAATTAATTCCTTGAATCCTTCAGCCTCAAGAAAAGGAAACGCTTTCAAAGTACGACACTGGGACGGTACTGGACAAAACTTGTCAATATCACAAATGAATGACTGAAAATGGTGTAGATTGTGCTGTTTTAATCAAGACTCAAGAATATAAATATTCTAGCACATCCAAATAAAATGCTCACAGCATTTCCAAAACACAACCATCAATAACCACCCCATAGGCAATGCAAGTTACTGAAACCAAAGAAAGGATTACAATCTTTCAATTCAGTTCTTAACAGAACACAATCTAAAATTCTTAGTAAAATGTTTTGTAAACCAAAAATACTTATAACCAAAAACAATCTAGAAGGTCTATCCCTAATCTTAGATTATCCCAATCTTGTTTGCCACATCCAAAGCATCATAGTCTGGTGTTAACCTGACATAAGCTTTTTTTGTCCCATCGGGCCTGAAACAGTAAGAAATATAAATCAGAAATAAAATATATGAAGAAAAAGTAACGCAGTTCACCTGAACATATGAGTTGATCACAAAAACAGTGCAAATTCAACAATAGTGGTAATGATTTGTTTGGATGTCAAATGAGATCCTAAAGATTTCATATATTTGGCATAGCAGTTGAAGGGCACAAATCATACCCTATAATCAATTCATCAACCAAAATGACAGCAGCTAACAATTACGTAATTGTATGAACACAACTCATAAATATCATCCTCTAGAAGCTAATTCTAAAATCCATGAAAAACAAAACAGACTCCTGAAAATGTCATGCAGATTAAAACGGGATGCCTTCACAAGACTGAAAACCATGTCGCTACAAATCACCTCAAAATTATGAGAAACTGGTTTCTTTAGATTGTAAAATGTCCGGTTTACAATAGGCCCCACCCTCTACAGAAAGATATTGGCCTATTGATGCTAAGCACATGGTAGAGATCTATATTGCAACTTGGTTAATATTCTAACCAAAATTATTAATTGTCCAACAGTTGCCAAAATAAGGAATGCAAGCAGAGTAATAATAAAATAAAAGTTGAGTGATTACCTAATCAAGGTATTGACCTTCTTGGTCTGGATGTCATACATCTTCTTGACTGCATCCTTAATCTTTTTCTTGTCAGCACGAATGTCAACAATGAAAACCAAAGTGTTGTTATCCTCAATCTTCTTCATTGCTGACTCGGTGGTGAGAGGAAATTTTAGGATCTGGTAATGATCAAGCTTGTTCCTTGGGGGAGCACTAATGCGAGGATACTTGGGGTTTCTATCCTTTTTCAATGTCCTTGGTCGATGAAATGTAACTGATGTTCGTATCTTCTTGGCCTTCTTCTTGAAGGTTGATGCACCTGATTTCACAGCCTTAGCAGTTTTTATGGCCTGGGCCTTCGGGTCAGACTTTTTCGTAGGATCAGCTGCACAGAAAATAATTCACTATAAGTAACAAAAAGAGCATGGATACCAAGTTAATCAAGCGAGAGGAATCAAATTGAACTGATATGCAATTGAAGCAACAAACAGATTAAAAAGATCATAAATTAAAAAAAGACAAGAATAACAAACTTATTTGACTGTGCCTATACTTTTCCACATTAATATTTAATAACCTTAGATGATCATTGTATGGATTATAGAAGCAAACAACAAAAGTTCACATACTATGCCCGTGGACCTCATTAATAAATTTTCTATACTGCTCTCGTCCAATAGCACACAAAGTTTTCTAATAACTCCATTCTGACTCGCTGACCTCCTATATTCAAATCAACTTTCAATCTCAGAGGAACACTTGATAGGAAGAGTGAATATCTGATCAAGAAAAAGCTTCTGAATGGATAACAATATTCCTTCCTCATATCCGAACATTTCATCTTAATTTAAAAATGAATATGTAAGTTCCAAATTTTGATTCTAGCTTATTTTTTGGGACTTCATTCTGTAAATTCCTTTTCTTGGGGAAGATTGGGGTAAATCTATATGAAATGTACCAGAAGGTATGGTGGAGTAATTCTCTGAAATGACTTGTCATATTTTTCTAAATGCAATCAATTAGTAATCAATGCTAAATCAAGTAAACTTTTCTTTGATTTTTTTCCCATTTTTGTAAGTTAAAAATAAAAATTGATATTTAGCTTTATTACAGTTTTGATATGAGGGTTAGCGCAATGCAAGAGGGCTCCTGTAAAAACCATTTATCCCAGTAAACGTGTGCTATCACTGAGTTCGGCCAATAATCATCCAGACAAACAGACGGAAATGAAATATTATATCAAAATTTATGTTTACCAGAAGAAAAAAAAAAATCACTGGAAATATATTCCACTAAGGAATGTAAAAACCGAACATTTATCCAAAAATAAATAAATAAATAAATAATTGTAAGAACCGAACAAGGTAAAACGTTTACGGAAAAAAAAGGGAGACATCAAATGATTTCTAAGGTTCCAAGTTCGTTGCACTTATGTCCCATTTTTCGTATACACGCAGACACATACATGTAAGGGGGGAAAAACCGAAAAATCATAAAAATGAGAAAAAACACTGATCCCAATCGAAACTTCTATATAAAATACAAGAAAAAGATGGCCGAATACATACCTTTAGGTGCCATTGGTTCAACAAAACCCTAAACCCTACCGTACTTGGCCTTTTTACCTGCATAAAGAATCAAGAAGATAATGTAGACTTGACAAATAGGACCACTTAAACTTATCAAACGAGAGAGAATCGTGCATACAAGTAGAGAGAGGGAGAGAGAGCGCACCTGCTACAAAAACAGCCGTCCTACTAGGGTTTGCGAAAGGGAGGAAGAGACGAAATATATAACGCTACCACGAGCGGTCACGTGCGCTATATGGAGGAGATGGAGAGCGAAGAAGAAAATATTTGTGTTAAATAATTTTATTATTATTATTATTATTATTATTATTTGTTAAATCTCTCTTATTCAAATTTATTTATTTATTTTTATATTTGGGTGCAAGAAGAAAATATTTGTGTTAAATAATTTATTATTATTATTATTATTTTGTTAAATCTCTCTTATTCAAATTTTTTTTTATATATATTGGGGTGCAACATGGGTTAGGCAACTCAAACCCAACCTGAGTCCAGTGAGATTTTTTACGGATTTGAGCAATTATTTTTATAATTAGAGTTAGGTTGGGGTTGAAAATTTTTTATCCAAATTTGAGGTGGCAACACGAGCCAATCCGAACTCATAATTCTAATATTATTTTCATATATATTTTTAATTTTAAATATATTATATATAATATTTAAACTATAATTACCTTTTTAATATTGTATGTTAACATTTAGGATAATTAATTTTGTAAAAATGTGTTTGTAATTTATTAAAAATTTACAAAAAGTTTTTTTTTTTTAAAGAGTAATTTAATCTAAAACTAATTCAAGCTTATATTAAATTTTCGATGTGAAGTTTAGCCATATGGATAATCTGAATTTATTAACTTGGAATCTAAGTCCGAATTTTAAAGTAGAAGGATGAGTTGGGCTTGGATTGAGTAATTAAGATTGAAGATAAAGATGGAATTGAACTTGGGTTTAGAATTTCATATGGTGGGTTGGATTCGAGTTATACTTTAAACTCGCCCAACCCGCCCAAGTTGCAACCCTACTAATAATGGGCCAAAAATATCAAATTTTTTTGAAAAGCTTGCAACTACACCAAAAAATTCAATTTATTTCTTGGGTCCATATAATATTTGTATTGATCCAATAGTTTATTATATCCCTACTAACTTGATCGTTGGAGGGTCAACGGCCGGCACCACACCGGTGTTTGACTTTGCCGTTTTTGTTTTGCAGGAAACAGTGTCATACCAGGGGATGGCAACGGGGCGGTTTGGGGCCGAGAACACTATCACCATCTCCATTCCCGGTTAGCATAGTTACCCATCCTCGTTCAAAATCATTTATTAAACGAGGCGAGTTAAGACAGGGCAGGACGAGTTTTGTAGAATATTTTTAAATATGATAACAATTATTTTTCTCTTATACAAGAAACAAGATTCAATTACTCAGATAGAACTTAAGACTTGATATTATTATGGGAACATCAAATAATATATAGAAGTTCAAATAATAATAATACAAAATGATATTTAGTAATTGGAGAGAATAAATTAGGATTTGTTTAATATATACTTAGTATTATTTAATATAAGTAGAATAACAAAATTATAATTTATTATCATAAACCGGGCAGGCGCGGGATGACGTTTCCCCATTCCCACCCCATAATCACGCGAATTTTCATCGTAATCTCCTTCCCGTCCCAAAACTATTTAACATTCTCATAATTATTATAAACGGGACGGCTACTCGAGGGGCGGGGTATTCGCCATCCCTATTCCAATTCCCTGTTAAAAAAATAAAATATACACGCACACACGCAGGTTTTCATCCCTATTCCCATAGTTAAAGATAATGTCATCTGAAAAAATATTACCTGTTTTTTTCAAGGGTATAATTATTCCACATACCCGTTAACAATTGCTTAATGGACTGACCTTATTTGCAAACTTTTGAAAATTCAGGATTGTTTTTTTACTTCCATAAGGGGGCATCTGCCTCTAAAAGTGCATGGAAATTTTCTTCAATTTGCCCTTTTTATATTTGGATGCCATCAAACTTGATCGTGTTCTGGACAAGTACCCTCTACAAACTTCTGGGGTACGGTCCTCCGGTAAAGTCCCAACATATTGCTAATTCGAATTTTTGCAATGAAAAATGATCATACGTGTTTACTTGAAACCTGAGATGAGAGTAAATGCTTGTCCGCCCACTCAAGATCAAATGTTTGACTAGTTGCAACTAAGTCATACATAGTGGGCGCGAAAGTTAAAACAGAGCACAAAAGCGACAAAATTTACATCACATATAATGGAAGCAAGAGCGCTGAGTGTGAAAGCCGCATCTATTGAGAAGAATTGTGTAACTTAAAATGCAAAAATAGCAAACAACTTGCTTCAGCCCTGGCGTCCCATATATCAAATATCAATAGCCAATTTTCTCTCCCACTGGCAGCTTAACTTGCAGTAATCATTCCAGGGACTAAATGTTCGACCAGACACAAAACAATGGTGGAGTTCTACACTCACCAAACTGGTTTAGAAAGAGGTTCAATTTTCAGAAGTTCTTTTAATTGTTAACCAAACGAATATTCGAATTGCTTTGTATGTTATCTATTTTTATTTTTTTATTTTTATTATTATTATTTTTTTTGGTTCTCAATTATTCACAAAAAACTGAAACAAATAGACTTTTCTAACTCGAAAGCATGGTACCTACTTTAATGGAAGAGACCATCTCCATCTTGTCGAATGCTCAGCTGTGTTGTAAAAACTGCAAATCCCAATTATATGGAGTAAAAAGCGACTAAAATTTTCCCTGTTTATTGTCCTTTTAAGAGAGTGACCAAGAATACAAGCAGCTCCAACAAGGCATTGAACTAACACTCAAGTACAAATTAGATGTCAAGTTTCCAAGCCCCCTATGGCAGGTCATAATGCAGCACCATAACTGCTGACAATCAGCTAATTGTAAACTTTAGTTGGACAACATCATAATGACCAATTGAAGACACGCCAGGCAAGATTACCCTTAATCTGCTACATAGGGCCCTTGTTGGTGCACAATTTTCAGTAGTACCAAAAAGCGCGAAGTATAAGATTGTTGACACACAAGTTAACAGAAAATTCTCCATGAAGAAACTCTATTTAAATAAGTGATTGCTTATACCTGACAACTAAATAGCCCTTCGTGAAGATAACGGTCTGCGTAAATTTGGGGCTCAATTGTTTATTGAGTAGAGGCCACTCCTCAGAGTCAAATAGTTTTTGCCTTCCATTTATCAAATTTGAAGGCCAAAGCGGGAAAACAAAATTTCTGCCATTCAAGCCCTGTTTATAAAAAATTTCTCATGCACTATTAAATTTTCTAACTAATCGAGTCCACAGTTAAAAAAATAACAATCTTCTGGCTACAATTTTACCAAATGGCCAGCAGTATCAGGAAGGCCCTGGATCAGATGAATTCGTCTGTGCCTATGGTGCAAGAAAAGCATGAAGACAAATTAGAACAAACCCTGTGGAGACTGCAAAATAGAAGTGAGATGATATCAACTAGATGCCGCTGAAAAAATAAGGGAAAATAACAGAAACTGACAAGTATTAATTGATGCACCTTCTAATGCCTTTCACGACTCATTTATCAAAAATTGCAACCGTTGTCGGAATGTAGAAACTTTGTCCGCTTCAACCACCATGACTAAACCCATTAAGCTGTAACTTGTCGTGGAAGCCACAAGGAACCAAAGCAAAACTTGCAGAGCACGTTATCAATATCCATCTAACAACATTGCCAGTAACCAAATTACAAAAGCATAGAGACAAGTAAAATTCATCTTTATAACAGGAAAAAGTGGTTGTGATCAAGTCAAATTTGCCTTCTATTTATTTTTGGTTCTATTTTCAGTTTTGCAGAGACCATTGCTTATCCCTCCCCAACCATTCCAAAAAGAAAAAGGAAATCACTCTTTTTCGATCTCCTCAGAATTGAAGATACGAGGGTAAAACTACAAGTAACTTTGTTGACAGCAAACTGTGTGTGTATACATAACGCGTATAGGGAATAAGCACAAACTACAGTCAATGGAGAGTACTGTTCAGAAGCTGCAATTTATATCTAGCTTACTGTTTGAGTTTATTTGACTGTGAATCTAATAGACTAATACTAACATCCAGAACATAATAATACAAGGTAGATTTTCCAATAAGCTTTTCATCCCAAAAGAATGAAATAAAATAAGTCTTCATCATCACTGCTACTACTACTTGGCTTCTGTTTTTGGTCATATGAAAACCAGCTATTTATACAAAGGGAAAATATATACTCTTATCACCATATACCTTGTAGATTGATTTTAGAGAACATCAGGTAAAACCTAAAGGAGAAGGAATTCCGGAGCTCCTCCGTCGGCTTCAAAAGTGAAATAACGATACATATGTTTTCATTGAAGAGACTTTTAGAGCTAACAGGGAAAAGAGAAATATTTGTTAAGCTCACCCATCCTGATCCCGTAATATATTATCATCTATAACCTCGTCTTCGGTAGCCACAATACTTCATCAAAGAGGGCATCATAAAGAGGCGGCAAAAGCTGTGGGGGAAGATTCGCAACATGCTGAGAAACTACGAGACCCACGCTCTGTGATTGCTCTCCCACGAGCGATCTCAAGTTATCAAGAACATCCTTCTCCTGGCATACTTTAAGCAGGAACTCTTTCAGCTCCATAGTACATTTATGACCCTGAAAACAACAAAACCATGACTTTTGAGCAAGTACAAATAATATGCAACCACATATTGGTGCCAGATCGTTTAAAGTTGTCCTAATTGGTAGTCTATCACTAACCACATAGCACCACATTATGCTAGGAGAGGGAGAGGGAGAGGGAGTAAGGCATTGTCAGCATATACCCGATAAGAAAAATCAAATAAATAGCCTAAACCCTTCCCGGACCCCGAAGTGGTGAGAGCCTCATGCCATGGGTTTGACAATTTTTTTTAATTGGCAGCAGGGAACAATTTATGTGGAACATTGTCTAGCAATCAAACAGCACAAATGGATTGTTCAAAAAAAAAAAGAAAAAGGAATTGACCAAACCTAATAAGTGTGGTTACATTGAACTCCCCTTCATCAGAAGAATCGGATTGTTCACTCTAACCAGGAAGAGAGACAAACCCATTACCTATAGAAAAACTTCATCAAATAAATCAATAACAAATCCAGTAAAGAATGCTTGCATTATGATCATTTCCAAAAAGAAAAGCATGGACGGTCCAAGCAAATAGGATAATACATTACTCTAATAAGGGTTTACCAAGGCAATTATACCTGCAGATTTAGGGGATGATTTCCTGTGGACCTTGGAGTTATGTATTTGGCGCTTAACCCTGTAAGCAGAGGCAACTCGGGCGACTGATCGAACGACCAAATGGTGAGAAGGTGAAAGACTGAGCTTTGAATAATTGGCATTAACTTGTTGACTTTCGAGGCATCTGGTTGACCGGTGGCAAACTGATTACCTACACCGAAGTTAAGGTCACTGAGATTTAGTATACAGACCTGATACACAAACAAGGCTTAAAATTTTGATGTCATTGAGATTTAGCATATAGACCTGATGCGCAAATGCTCATTAAGGCGCAAGGGACTCGCGGAGCCTAGGCACAAGCTTGATTGATACAAGGGGCGTGTTGTATAAAACGTGCAAATTAATCATATGGTATTGCAAATCTGAAAAAGAATAATGCAATGATTAAATTTAAATTATGTAATATATAACCACAAAATTCACAGCTAATAAGAGTAATCAAGGCCAGAACATAACATATCAGATAAAAGGCATGCAAATATTTTGTATTTTCAGATATCATAATTTATCATCAAAATGCCAAACATTCAGCAGAGGAAAAAGTGTCCACACAATGAAATGGATGCGATTCAATTGTACCGTGTTTAATAACTTATTCATGTAATAGAAATGTTTGATTGCACTTGAAACCTTACTCTTATTTTGTCATACATAACTTCTGAATTTTTATATATATATATATAAATAAATTGTTTTTTAACCAATAACTCATATTAGTTATTCCTTAAACAAAGAACTAAAATAAATCTTATTGTCAATTTTCAAAAAAAAATGTTATTAAAAATAAAATATATTAAAATAGGTAGTTAATTCATTTCACATTCTTATTTAATGTAATTGATCGGGAAGGCCTTAGACACATAAGTGGATTCACTATATTGTTTAAAGTTGCCCAAAATCCACTACTATTTTGAAGCTTGCAAAAGGATTCTGTCGCACCCACTTTAATCATATAAAATTTCAAATCAGATATAAATATGAAGTTCGTTTTACTTGATAATTTATAAAATTATAAAATAATTCTACAAAATATCTAGTTGGGTAAATGTGAAGGATTTCTATTGCTACAATACTTGTTGTTTCAATTAGACCAAATGAAGGTCAATGGCCTTATAAGAGAATTTTAGAATTGAGTTTTATGGTCTATAATGTTCTAAAATAGAATAAATTACTAATACAAAAACTATAAAAAATTAAAGTACTCATGTTATTATAAGTTGATGCCTCACCATTCACCTGAATCACCTGCGAGGCATTGCGTGACATAACCTTCTAATGTGTGGCGGGATAAAAACATCAAGTTTTGGTGCAACACAATTTGTCATATCTCCGATGGCCAAATTCATCATGCACCACCATTGTTGATATCACTATTAGTGCACAAACGTTTGTTGCATAACCTTTTTTTTGTGTTGGCACCGTAAAACCAAAGCTACTATGAGACTAACCAATAGATGATCGAAAGAGCTATATAATATTTCTCGGCCATAAAAATTGTGTTCCTACATTTGTATTCAAATTAACAGGTGGATTTTTTTTTTCTCTCTCACTTTCCTTGGGGTATGTTAGTTTAGACTAATTGTCAATTGGTGACATTGGATGCACATAAAAAAAATTCCTCGCATGTTTAATTCTAAGTTTCGAAAATGAACTCGAGTCAAATCTGATGTTATCACTAACACATCTTTACTCACCAACTTCTAGGAATGTTTTTGTTTTCATTCAAACGGTTCTATTTAATGTTCGTTAAAGTAAAATATGTTATAATTTTTTTGAAAGTAAATCAAAATATTACATAATTGAGTGACAAAACAATTAGTTAAAAATTAAAAAGTTATCTCTGGGTATGGTTCATTAGAAAATATCAATTTGAAGTTTTCTATTTGATTCCCCATTTGAGCTATTTTTTAAATGACAACAATGGATTATCAAATACCCCGCAACAAAAACACTTGGCCATTAGTGTTCTTTATATCACCGATGGAAATTTTATTATCTTTTGTGTAACTTTGTTTATTCTGATTTGTAGTTTTCTGCATGTAATGCAAGGGAATGCCCTTGCTTGAGCCTTTTTACTATATTATATTTCGTTTTAATATATTCCACATTCATTTAGGGAAAAAAAGAAAAAGGCTTGTTTTGTGAAATTCCAATTTCATGATGCTACTAAGGAACTGATTTCAACTGGGGAAAAAAATTGCTTGATCTCTTAAAAATGCGTGGACAGGTTCCATTAGCTAGTTAAATCAACAATTTAATCATGAATCAATTTGAGTTTGGGAGAGCCACACAGTCAACGGTCAACATTTTCACATTTTATTTTTTATTTTTTTATAGGATCTAATTTGTACTCTATCTATTCAAAATAAGTGTTATATATATTTTTTTTTTTAAAGTCCCAAATAATAGTTCATTTTTCTTTTTCAAACTACATATTTCATATCTTTTTATGTATGTTATTTGAGTTTAAAATTTAAAATTTGAATATTTAAAATTTAAAAGGACAAATTAATAATTTTTAAGACAAACAATACATGTTTTTTATATTCCTTTCAAAATTACTACGCCATGTTAGTGACACTTAAACGGAGACAAAGGAAGTACATGGTATAATCACGAGTTGAAAACCTGTAATCAATGCTAGAGTTTTAGATGTTTTCAAACTTTTACTCATTTGGCATTAGATATTTTTAAACGAAATATGGAGTAAAACTTTTTGGATTAATATGTGGAGAACCATATAAGTTTCAAAAAAAATATGTTAAAGAAGTCCAAATTCCAATTAGAGGCACATACATGGGATTGGCCCAACTACTAACAACGGATCGTCCTCCATCAGTAACTGCTCGGTTGATCCACAGGTCTCTCTTTCCGGTCACAAGTTCCGAACGCAACAACGTTCAGTGGGGCACACGTCTTAACCACAATTAGAAACCAACCTCAGGTTAATTAACCGGGGTTAGTTTCGCCTCATCCCAGAGCCAGTGTTTAGCTCACCTAGATCTGCTTTAAAACTAGGGTTTCGAAAAGCGGATAATTTTGTCGATTTTATTGATAATTCTTTGAATTTTTGGCGTGAATTGTAAGAATCTTTGTTCTGTGTTATCATCGATCCGTCTCTGTGGAAATTTCACAAATGGAGACGCAGAGGATTATTGAATTACCTCACAAGAATATGGATAAACGCCCCAGGAAGAGACCTCGATTGACATGGGACATGCCCCCTTCTGTTCACCCACCTCCCAAGGTATAGTTACATACATAAACACACACATTTTTATATATACATATGATCCAAGCAAGTATTACTGAGAATATATATATATATATATATATATATATATATATATCTGTTTTTATACTTGATATATTTATTCAAAATCTGTGCCCATTTTTTATTTTTTATTTTCCAATTGTCACTCCGAGTTATATGTAGTGTTATTTTTATTTTTATTTGAGTCGTTGTTTCTCTTAATGTCTATTTATCTTTAGAATCGTGATGAATTGTTACTCAGATTTAAATTTGTTTTGTATGTGTGTGTATGTTTTGGTTGAAAATTTACTGAATGTGGATCAAAATTGATCTTTTTGGCATTTTAGAATTTTTTTTTTTTTTTTTTTTTTTTTCATGAAGATATGGCGCCTAAGGAATAGGGATGCAGACACACTGACATGGGTAACGACACATAACTAACACGAAGATATGGCAAATTTAGGAAAAAAAAATTGGACACATGCATGGCAGGGATACAACAGAAGAAAAGAAAATTTGTATAATTAATATATAAACACATTTCTTTTGGTTGATTTTATCTACACTATCATGAATGTAGTCACTAATTTACAGCGTTAAGCTAGATGATTATTATTTTTGTTTTCTAAATCTTTGTGTTATTTTTCAAAATAACTCATAATATATTTTAAGATTACATCGGAACTCCAATTTTTTTTTTTTTTTTTTTAAATATAGTAATTGCAAAACTATCATTGTGTGTCTTGAAAGTGTTGGACATGTGTTCATCACTTCTACCTGTGATGGACACCTGTTCAGCCGTATCCCGTGCTTATTTTAATCCGAAGACCACATTTAGTATCTCCACTTGAATCTTGTTTTGCAATTGCCTGCTACTACTGAATTTAATAACCCATTTTAGCTTTCTCCTGGCTTTAGCTGCTAACACTTCCACACATGAATGGCACATGGA